TTGGTGAATGGATGCTTTCGAAGGTGCTTCTGAAGGCAAGTTTGAATTTAGCGGACTCAAAGTGAACTGCTAGAATGAAATGCCAAGCTTCTATTCCAAACATTTCCTAATTTCTGTGAAGTAAGGGATTAAAGCCAGTGTGCTTGTGCTGCCAGTGTTGATGACTACACACACTAAGGCCAGCTTGAAGTTAACTAGTTAAACTGATTGCCAGGCAGTCAGAAACATGTGAGCTGTATAACATGACTTGTTGGAGCACAAGTTGACCCCGTGTCGGAGTGCATCAGCATTTGACACCAGCTTCCAGAGGGGCTGTCTAATCCAGGACAAGCACCAGAGGGTGCAGTGGCAGCACCAAGAGATTGACCATTCGGAAAGAGAAAGACACCCTTTATAACTAAATCTAATAAGACATAATGGGAACAGGTGTGCATTTATTGACAAATCAAGAAATTGCACAGAAATTAACAAATCAGGACGACAGATATACCTTGTGGCAATGACACCTCGTAGAGATGAAAGGGCAGAGCAGTTTTGCATGAAGCATTGCGTGGTAGCAAGTTGTTCACAACACCAACAGTTCATTTTCATTTGTGTTTTGTCTCATATTGTGCAGCCAAAATCAAAAATGCTGTCATTGTTTCCTCACCCTCAATTTGTTCCATTCCCATATGAATTAATTTCTGCTGTGCTACTCAAAAGGAGAAATTCTGAAGAAAGTGCTGGTTTTATTTTAATTTTTTCCAAGAAAAGTGCTGTTTGTATGTAATTACAGTTTAAAGGTGCTGAAAGTTTTCAAGTTTAAAAAAAGACACAAAAGCACCAGTGGTTCATAGGAATTGTGCACTATATTCTGAGTTTTCTGAAGTCATATGACAGCTTTATATGAGAACCAAACTGAAATTTAAGTCATTAATTAATCTTTCCCTCCATGAGTCAAGAAAACATTTAAACCAGTTTCGTGAACGAATCAAAAACGTATTCAAAATATCTGACTCTCAACAGACGCAAACACCATAAATGAGGTCCATACAACTTGATTGTTTTTTCATCTACTCCATGAGTCAAAACAACATTTAAACCTGTTTTGTGAACTGGATACATTTTTTTTTATATATATATAGTTGACTCTCAACAAGTACTTGTTCCCAAATCAGACATTTTTCCATAGTGCCAAAAAGAGCTTCAGTGAACTTAAATTTCAATCTTTTTATCTTTTTAAGTGGGAGAACTTGCACAATTGGTGGCTGACTAAATACTTTTTTGCCCCACTGTACATACATATGTATATATATATATATATTACACAATGATGTTTTAATATATATATAAAATTAAAATAAAAAAATAAAAATATAATAAAATAAAATATAACATTTATATTTTAATGTATGCAATAATGAACATAATATATACACAAAGTTTATAATATGTATATATAATATTTTTTTAATATATAAAATATACTCATATTTTAATATACATGTAATAATAGTAATAATAATCATCATCATCATCATTACCATCATCGCCACAATAATTGTTATTATTCATTTTTGTATAATAAATTGAAAAGCAGTGTGAATCAGAGTAGCATAAATTGTGAACGGTGGTGTGTAAGCGATTGCAGACAACCTAAGTTTAAATTTCGCTCAGGCCTTGCATCTATTAACCATAACAAAGTTAATTTAAATTTACACAACAGCACTACAACAAATCTTATTTAATGTACAAGTAATATTCTGTACAAAATCAGTTGTGGTTAGTCTATCATAATGAAAACTGTAATGTGCCACCACCAGAAAAGTTAGCTAAACTACCTTCCCTAAAGATTTTTGAATCTATATAATGTCATACACAATGCTTTATCACGCTTTAGGGACATACAGACTGATTGTAACTGATTTTTGATTTACTGATTTAATTACAATTGTATTAATTTTTTGAAAAGTTGGTGGGACAATATCCAATCAGCTGGACTTTTTTGTAAAATAATGCCCAACAGGGCTCTCTGATCACTGTTTGGTTCATCTTATACCAACCTACAGGCAGAAACTGAAATCAGCTAAACCTGCAATAAGGACTGTAAAAAGGTGGACTAATGAAGCAGAGCGGGATTTACAAGCCTGCTTAGACTGCACTGTTTGGAGTGTTTTTGAAGCTGCTGCCACCGATCTGGACGAACTCACAGAGACTGCAACATTATACATCAGTTTCTGTGAGGACATGTGCATTCCTACCAGGACTTATTTAACATACAACAATGACAAACCATGATTCACAGCAAAACTCAGACAGCACTGTCAGGACGAAGAGGATGCCTACAGGAGTGGGGACAGAATCTTGTACAATCAGGCCAGGAACACACTGACAAAGGAGACCAGAGTGGCTAAGAGGAGCTACTCTAAAAAGCTGGAAAACCAGTTTTCAGCCAATGACCCTGCTTCACTGGGGAAAGGACTGAAAGACATCACAAACTACAAGACACCATCCCCCAGCACTGAGGCAAATCAACAACTTGCTGAAGACCTGAATGAGTTTTACTGCAGATTTGAAACTCCCGGTCTCACACCCCACACCCACTCTGACCATTACCACCACAAACATTAACACCTCCAGCAACTCCCCCCCCCCTTTGGATCAGTTAAGATGATGTGCGTCAGGTCTTCAGGAAACAGAAGAGAAGAAAACCACCAGACCCAGACGGTGTTTCACCATCCTGTCTGAAAACCTGTGCTGACCAGCTGGCCTCCATCTTTTCACAGATCTTCTGGAGCTGTGTGAAGACCCTTCCTGCTTCAAACACTCCACCATCATCACCATTCCAAAGAAACCCAAAATCACAAGACTTGATGATTACAGACCTGTTGCCATATCATCTGTGGTCATGAAGTAATTTGAGAGACTGGTGTTGGCTTAACTGAAGGACATCACTGGACCCTTGCTGGACCCCCTGCGGATTGCTTATCGAGCAAACAGGTCTGTGGATGATGTAGTCAACATGGGACTGCATTATATCTTACAACATTTAGACAAACCAGGGACTAATGAGAGGATCCTGTTTGTGGACTTCATCTTGGCTTTCAATACAATCATCCTAGCACTCCTCCAGACCAAACTAACCCAGCTCTCTGTTCCTAGCTCTATCTGCCAATGGATCACCAGCTTTCTGACAGATAGCCAACAGCTAGTGAGACTGGGGAAATGTATGTCAAACAGCCGCACCATCAGCACTGGCGCCCCCCAGGGGTGTGTGCTCTCCCCACTGCACTTCTCCCTCTACAACAGGGATGGGCAACTTCGGTCCTGGAGGGCCACTGTCCTGCAGAGTTTAGCTCCAACCCTAATCAATAATAGCTCCGGCCCTTCTGTCACCAGAACAAATTCCTTGTATGTGCAAACATACTTGGCAATAAAGCTCTTTCTGATTCTATAAATGTATAGATGTTGATAGCCAGGTAGGTCAGTTAGTTCAATCCCAAACAATGTTGTTATTGTTAGCTAAAACTATTAAAATAATTTTTGTTAATTGAAATAAAAATGTAATAAAATATAAATATTGTCTGAAAAATAAACTGAAAAAAATGTAAAGCTATTACCTTGACAACTAACTAAAATAAAACAAGTTTATGTACTAAAATTACTCAAATGTTAACTATAAAAACAAAAGCTAAATCAAAACAGAAACTACTAAAACTGAAAAACATATACAAAAAATGAAAAATAAAAACAATAAAAAAAATGAAAAATAAAAGCTAATTCAAAATATTAACGCATACTATAATAATATAAAAATAAACTATTATAAAAACTCAAACAAAAAAAAAAACTAAAATAGAACTACATCATACATATTGCCCCAGAATTCAGAAACACTTCACTTCTTTAGAATCTAAGAACAGCTCAATGAAAGGTAATGGTTAAGTTACATATGTTCTGTGATAGTGTCCAAGTCTAACAAGTCTAAGCGATGACATTTCACACTGGAATAATGTTGTTAAAACCAGAGTCACAGCTGAGGTGCGAGTTCATTGTGCCAGAACACATCTATGTCTGGTCCACATCCACAAAGCTGAGGATCTAAATGTTTCACTGCAAGATCTTGATTAGAGCCAGCCATACAACCATATAATGCAGTGCTGATGTCATCGAGCCTTGGGCGGTGCGCTCAGAGCAGTGTTCAGAAGACAGAGAAAGGGAGGGGACTGTCAGGGTGGATAAGACTCTGTTGCGGCACATTTCCTAAAGCTTCCAGCACACGCATAAACCTCAAGTCTGAATGGTCTCAAACTGCTACAGTGATTCTGGTCATTCATGTCACACTATCATTAAAAATGTCTTATTACCAAGGGGAAAAAAAGGTTGTGCTTTTTTTTTTTGTTCTTTGAATAATAGTGAAAAGAACAGCATTTACTTGAAAAAGTAGAAGATCAATTTAACACATTCTTGCTAAATAAAAGTATTAATTTATTTTAAAAATAAACTTACTGACCCCAAACTTTTCAATGGTAGAGTATAGTTGCCATTTGAAGGAACACATAAAAGACCCAATTTGAATGACTATAGGTTTTAAATGGATGCAGATAAATAGAGGCTAGAAGTTAATCTTGACAAGATATTTTGCTTCCTTCTAAAATTAAACTACCTGTGCAATCGCATGTATATATCTCCTTCTGTTTGATTGCAGGCAATAAAGACTGCAAACATCGTTCAATATAAGAGTAATTATCCCCAGTGGAGATTCAACATAAATGTTTTTCCATAACAGATAGCATGGGTCTGCACATTACTCCAATAATGTCATTCTATGTCAGTCGTCTAGGCATCTGGCAACGTAACATATTGCCACTTAAGAGCTGATTTAATTTTATGGACCATAAGATGTAAACACATCCCAGTGCATAACTGAATAATTGATTTCCATATCATTGGATCTTTTCAGAAATATTTGTTTTTGTGGATTTCCATTTCACAAAGGAGATGGAAGTTCCCTGCTTTACCCAAAACTAAAAAACAGCTTAACATACTGAAACATGTGAACAATGTCAAAACGTGTCCTCACCTGTATTTTGATTGGCCATGAGAAGTTGCTGACGTATACATAGAAAGTGATGTTAGGATTGCTATGAAAACTGAATTTCTCACAAGAGAAACTGTCTCTGTACTCTTTGATGTTGGTCTTGGACACGATGGGGATCTCTTCCCCAGAGATGGTTCCAGCTGTAAAGAGAAAAGAATGAGATTAATTCAGATATAAAGGAGGCAATCAGAAATGGAATGTGATGCACCTCATAACTTCTCTTAAATAAGGAATTGACCATAAAGGGTCACAGAGTGACCTCGGCATGTTGGTGGTTCTGAATACATATTCAAAACAGGAGCAAGACATCAAATCTTTTCTATATTTATTGTTCGGTCTGAAAAATGATGCATGCTTAAAATGTAGTGTGACCGCCACTTAATGCTTTCTGAGCTATTAAATAAGGGCGATTGAGAGCAATGCAAATGCAATGAATTGCACCAGTAATCAACAAGGCTGACCGCATACACTTTAGCTGTTTGTTGATGTTTTTTATTCATGGAGAAAATGAGTTTTAAATCAACCTCTCAGTGTGACAATTTCATTATCTATTTTTAACATGGTATAAAACCATAATTTAACACAAAATGACTTGGAGGAGCTAAAAAGAAAAGCGGCCTTTGTCCTATTTTATCAGGACTTTTTAAACTTTCTGAAGTCCTCGACTGAAAAACTTAAGTCCCACCAATCGTCATTCCAAACCAGCACTATGAAACAAAGCCCTCAAAATGACAACCCAAATGCCACTATGTGGCAATGTTTATCTTAATTGAAATCGTTCAGTGCCCCTGAAGATGCCGCAGCCCTAGAATTCAGAGCCGCATGCTAGACTATTGTTAGAAGCCTTTCTCTGGGGAGAGTGTCTTTAAACAGAAAGACACCACTCCAAATATTAAATGAGGGGAGCCGGGAGGTCGAGAAGGAGAGGAGTGAACCTGTTAAAGAAGAGCGTGAATGTCAAAGTCACATTAAAAAAATTGGCTGGTGACTATTTGGACGAAAAGGTGATTTCATAAATAAACAATAGAGGATAATGGCGACGTCCTTGAGTCTATCTATTGTAAAATACCCAACACACCCAGGATCACACTGCGGTCAAACAAGGAATGCATTAGCATCTGTGTGTCAGATACATTATGGCATCATGCTAACGCAGAATGCATCACTATGGTCAATTACGCACAGCTAACTGATTAGCAGTGTTGACTTGTTTACACCAGCATTCAAAACTTTAGGGTTGTAATATTTTTTTGTTGTCTCTTTTTCTTACCAAGGCTGCATTTATTTGATCAAAAAATACAGTAAAATTGTGAAATATTATTAAAATAAAATTGTATATTAAAACGTTTCTATTGTTATAGGTATTAGAATGTTTTTTTTCCCGTGACAGCAAAACTGAATTTTCAGCAACACCTAAACTATGTATTTTTTTGATGAACAGAAAATTCAAAAGAACAGCATTTATTGGAAAGAAATCTTTTTAGAGCATGAAAAACGTATTTACTGTTATTTGATCAATTTTATACATCCTTGCAGAGTAAAAGTATTATTTTTTTTAATCTTACCAACCTCAAACTTTTGAATGATATAACTTTTTCTTGTATTGTTTTTAGTTATTATTTTTTTAACAGTGATGCTTTACTTATGCTGAGTTTACACTGTAAAAGCTCTTGAAAGTTGTGTATTGAAATGTGTCTCCTGTTTTTTTTTTTTGAGTATGTTGTTGCAATGCTCTAAGTTAACAATAGTTCTTTAAAAAAAAAAGTGTCTCGAGACCTGTTTTTGAATGCATGAATGTAAAAAAGAAGATCTGCTCAACAAACATTTGTTTTATGACTACAAAAACAAGAACTATAATACAACAATACAGAGGCAAATATTTGACTGAAGAATAATCTTTAGGAAAGAGTAATCAGTACCTGTTGACCCCACTGACCAAGTGATGTTCAGATTGAAATTGTTTGATGCATTGATGGACATGTCCAAGTTCTTGCTGGTCTACAAATTGGAAAGAGTAAACAAAGTTGATGTCTGCAAAATAATTATTTTCAGTATGACTTCCATACGGCAATGTAGGTGTAACATTAAATATACTTCGACACAAAATACATCTGACTATCTGACACAAAAAGGTAGTCAGCATTGGAAAGCAGAAAAATGAGTAAATCTCTCTCTTTTTTGGTCCACAAAAGAAAGTCATAATAAACGATGGGGGGGGTAAATGTTTCATTTTAGGGTGAACTATGCCTTTTATGAAATGTATGTTGTCTAACTGGTGAACAGAAGACTTCTCTATGATCATCACAAGGTGGTCAAGCCATTCAGCTGCTTCTGTTCTCAGATAAGTAGATTGTGGCTGACCTGTTCAGGAGTGGCCATGAAGTTAATGGCAGTATAGTGCTGGTCATCTTCTTGAAGCAGACTGAAGGTGAACTGGTAATCAATCAGCAAGTTATCTGTTCAGAGCAAAACCCTATTGTTAATCATCACATTTTACGCCATCATGAACCACACCATGCAATTCTCTGTCATGTTAATGGTTGAAGGTTTCCATTTAAAGAACATCACGAAAAAGTGGTACACATTCACTCTTACAATAATAAGACGGCTACTTTGAAGAGCTACATGAATCATCAGTCACTTTAATTGCACTAAATTAATACCTCCTTTCTGAGTGTGTCATTGCTTTAATAAGCATGCACTCTGATTAAGCTCAATTGTTTTTAAGACAACTACAAGTATTTGAAATCTACGCTTCTTAGTTACATAAAAGAACTTATCGTTAACCAGAACTAGGCCTAAAGGTTTAAAAGTTTAAGGCCAATTTTTGACCATTTTCTAAGGAAGATCCTGAGGTGCATTAAGTTGATTCTTTTTCAAGGTCTTAGTATCTCTTTAAAGCATAATTTCAAAGACAAAGATATGTCTGAATTGTTTTCTTAACTCCTGGGCTGTTAAATGACTGAATGCTGCCACAGGCATCTCCCAGAGAACAGCTGTTTGTGTGAATCACAATATGGTATTGTAAACATCTCTTTCACTCCCCATCAACTCGAAAAATGTCTTTATAAGCTTTTAATCAATTCAGATGCGACATTGAAGCAACATATATTTACTCATTTCCTTTATTTTTGCTTGAAAGATCATGTAACTTTCAGACACTGAATAGTGATGATCTTTTCTTTCTTTTAAATCATCCTTCCAGAAGGAACGGTGTCACTTTTAAAATTAGTTTCAGATGCAACTATCTACTGGTGACAAAACTTGAACCATCCCCCAGCTTGCTCTTAAACCATTATGGTGATATATGCTGGATTTTTTTTCAACGATGAAACAGAAAAGTGAATGTCAGTGAGTTTCATGAGTCAGACAGCTGTTCTGAGAGGGATGTCAGCCATAAAGTTGTAAGTTATTAAATGAGAATATAAAAAACTTGGAATATAAAATTTTAGGCCAAGAGATAAGCTTGTCATCCCGCATGCATCAAAAACTTTTAAGTTTTGTGTTCTCTGTCATGTTCTCAACTATTTGTAAGACCTTACACAACTAATGTTGTAATAACGACTTATGTGCACCAATTTTGTGATCATTCTCCTGTCTGACTGTTGCTACAATCTGGAATTCATTCTTTCAAACACACATCTAAAGGGATAGTCTGAGCAAAAATGAAACTTCTGTAATCATTTACTCACCCTCATGTTGTTCCAAACCAGTATAACTGACTTTCTTCTGTAGAAATTAAATGAAGATCATTTTAAGAATGTTGGTAACCAAACAGTTTTGGTTAACATTGGTTATCTTCTCAAAATATCTTCTTTTATATTCATACAGGTTTGAAAATGACATAAGAGTAGATAAATGATGACAGCGGTTTCATTTTTGAGTGAAAGAAGTTTCTTATCCTTACCAAAGTTGCATTTATTTGATCAAAAATACAGTAAAAACACAAATAGTGTGACCTTTAAAATAAAAATGTAATGTAAAATGTTAAATATAGCAATGATATAGAAACATTTCTTATAATAAAAAATATATATACTAAAAGCAGTTGTGCTGCATAATAGTTCTGTGGAAATAGTGATCTTTTTTTCAGGATTCTTTTATGAACATTAAGAATATTTTACGGTCACTTTGATCAATTTAATGCATTCTTGCTGAATAATATTAATTTCTTTTTTTGTTTTAAAGTTGTGTTTTGAAATGTCTATAAACGGTAACAAACAAAACGCAAAAATGGCTTGTGGTTGCTTCTGACAGCAACAAGAACAAATGTCTCTCTTGTGCATTGAATTAAGTGTCCTAGAGTAGACAAATGAATCTGAATCTACTGAATCAACTAAGGTAGAACATTGTAATGATAAAAAATTTCCATTTCAACATTACAACGCAACAGAAACCAGAGCAATGAACTCCATTCAGGTCATTAAAGACGCTCCCGACTGCAGTTACACTGCAAATACATGGAGGGATGGTCAGAGTGAGAGTGTAAACCAATCTGAGAAAATTTAGCATGACCAAGAAGTCTATTTTTACAGGATCAATCTTTGATGGTGAGTCAAGTAACACTGACAGAACACACTGAGCACCCTTGCTACTTGCTAGTGCTGTCTCCGGAAATGCACAAGGGAGTGTGAGAAAGTTCACACTGCCTACTGGATCCAAGTCTACCAAACTTCTGCTCGTGTCTTTAATTAGATTGAATCATTTGCTTACTCACTCTAACAGGGTTTGACACTCTCACCAGTCTTATATCGTCGCCTGCGGCCCACTCTCCAGCATCACTTCCCCCTACAGGACACTATTTGAGAAAATATGGGCGGGTGATACATTTTCTTCTAAATAGCAATTGGGCCGGAAGCCTGCGAGTACAAGAGTCTCATCTAACAGACGCAGAGGGAATGGATTGGATGGAAATTGTTTGATAAATTGAAGGCTTTATTTAATCCTGATTGATGACAATGGGGATAATGTTGGTGGGATTTGCAAACGGAGTGAAATTTGATGTCCTAAACGCTACTGACTGCATTTTCAGACTCCATGATGACTGCTGATAGTAACTGCTACAGGATCAATCTTTGATGGTGAGTCAAGTAACACTGACAGAACACACTGAGCACCCTTGCTACTTGCTAGTGCTGTCTCCGGAAATGCACAAGGGAGTGTGAGAAAGTTCACACTGCCTACTGGATCCAAGTCTACCAAACTTCTGCTCGTGTCTTTAATTAGATTGAATCATTTGCTTACTCACTCTAACAGGGTTTGACACTCTCACCAGTCTTATATCGTCGCCTGCGGCCCACTCTCCAGCATCACTTCCCCCTACAGGACACTATTTGAGAAAATATGGGCGGGTGATACATTTTCTTCTAAATAGCAATTGGGCCGGAAGCCTGCGAGTACAAGAGTCTCATCTAACAGACGCAGAGGGAATGGATTGGATGGAAATTGTTTGATAAATTGAAGGCTTTATTTAATCCTGATTGATGACAATGGGGATAATGTTGGTGGGATTTGCAAACGGAGTGAAATTTGATGTCCTAAACGCTACTGACTGCATTTTCAGACTCCATGATGACTGCTGATAGTAACTGCAAAAAAAAAAAACTAAGTGAAAGAGAGGAACACAGATGTATACCCAGAGAATACGCTGTTTCTGATATACATGACTGCCCCCTAGTGCTGTGCATCTGAGCCCAGCACACACAATCAGACTTCAAAATGGTTTGCTGCAGATCTTCCGAGATGTTCAAGAGATCTAACTCTACTTTTCGATTTCTGCCAAATCAGAAAGTCTCATCCACAGCTTTTATCTTGTTGTGTGGTTGTGCATCAGCCCATGGCAATTTTCGTCCAGGTTTCCCAGCATCTTAAGTCCCCTGAGTCTAATTTCATTAAATGGCAGACAGCCTCTGAGTTTGAAAGTGTCTGCAGAGTCAGATGAATTTTCAAGGTACTTGAATATTACTTTAAGGTCAGAGCTCAAATAGAGCATACTCACAGTAACAGGTTCCTCTAAGGGGGTTGCCAAGGTAACGGTTTTCTGAGTCACAACTGCAGAGGGACAAAAAACAATTTAGATGACGTACATCAGTAATGAATCTGAACATGCAGTTGTCATAATAATTATTAAACATTAAAAATAAATGGTCTGTGGATCAAGAAAACAAAAATGTTGTTAATTAAAAAAGAAAAAAGAAGAATAAAGAAATAAAATAAAGATCAAGATGTTTTGCTAGGTTTAATTTACTAGGTTTTTTAGGGTTTAATATTTTTAGCTGAGGTATTTTTAGTAGTTTTTATCTGTACATTTGTGTTTTTTTTATATATATTGCATGTCCATGTACAAGTGCATATGAACATCTGTTTCCTTCCTAATGACCAAATAGACAACTAACCGCATAGCTTATTTAGTAAATATGCTGTTAAATGACTGAATGCTGCCACAGGCATCTCCCAGAGAACAGCTGTTTGTGTGAATCACAATATGGTATTGTAAACATCTCTTTCACTCCCCATCAACTCGAAAAATGTCTTTATAAGCTTTTAATCAATTCAGATGCGACATTGAAGCAACATATATTTACTCATTTCCTTTATTTTTGCTTGAAAGATCATGTAACTTTCAGACACTGAATAGTGATGATCTTTTCTTTCTTTTAAATCATCCTTCCAGAAGGAACGGTGTCACTTTTAAAATTAGTTTCAGATGCAACTATCTACTGGTGACAAAACTTGAACCATCCCCCAGCTTGCTCTTAAACCATTATGGTGATATATGCTGGATTTTTTTTCAACGATGAAACAGAAAAGTGAATGTCAGTGAGTTTCATGAGTCAGACAGCTGTTCTGAGAGGGATGTCAGCCATAAAGTTGTAAGTTATTAAATGAGAATATAAAAAACTTGGAATATAAAATTTTAGGCCAAGAGATAAGCTTGTCATCCCGCATGCATCAAAAACTTTTAAGTTTTGTGTTCTCTGTCATGTTCTCAACTATTTGTAAGACCTTACACAACTAATGTTGTAATAACGACTTATGTGCACCAATTTTGTGATCATTCTCCTGTCTGACTGTTGCTACAATCTGGAATTCATTCTTTCAAACACACATCTAAAGGGATAGTCTGAGCAAAAATGAAACTTCTGTAATCATTTACTCACCCTCATGTTGTTCCAAACCAGTATAACTGACTTTCTTCTGTAGAAATTAAATGAAGATCATTTTAAGAATGTTGGTAACCAAACAGTTTTGGTTAACATTGGTTATCTTCTCAAAATATCTTCTTTTATATTCATACAGGTTTGAAAATGACATAAGAGTAGATAAATGATGACAGCGGTTTCATTTTTGAGTGAAAGAAGTTTCTTATCCTTACCAAAGTTGCATTTATTTGATCAAAAATACAGTAAAAACACAAATAGTGTGACCTTTAAAATAAAAATGTAATGTAAAATGTTAAATATAGCAATGATATAGAAACATTTCTTATAATAAAAAATATATATACTAAAAGCAGTTGTGCTGCATAATAGTTCTGTGGAAATAGTGATCTTTTTTTCAGGATTCTTTTATGAACATTAAGAATATTTTACGGTCACTTTGATCAATTTAATGCATTCTTGCTGAATAATATTAATTTCTTTTTTTGTTTTAAAGTTGTGTTTTGAAATGTCTATAAACGGTAACAAACAAAACGCAAAAATGGCTTGTGGTTGCTTCTGACAGCAACAAGAACAAATGTCTCTCTTGTGCATTGAATTAAGTGTCCTAGAGTAGACAAATGAATCTGAATCTACTGAATCAACTAAGGTAGAACATTGTAATGATAAAAAATTTCCATTTCAACATTACAACGCAACAGAAACCAGAGCAATGAACTCCATTCAGGTCATTAAAGACGCTCCCGACTGCAGTTACACTGCAAATACATGGAGGGATGGTCAGAGTGAGAGTGTAAACCAATCTGAGAAAATTTAGCATGACCAAGAAGTCTATTTTTACAGGATCAATCTTTGATGGTGAGTCAAGTAACACTGACAGAACACACTGAGCACCCTTGCTACTTGCTAGTGCTGTCTCCGGAAATGCACAAGGGAGTGTGAGAAAGTTCACACTGCCTACTGGATCCAAGTCTACCAAACTTCTGCTCGTGTCTTTAATTAGATTGAATCATTTGCTTACTCACTCTAACAGGGTTTGACACTCTCACCAGTCTTATATCGTCGCCTGCGGCCCACTCTCCAGCATCACTTCCCCCTACAGGACACTATTTGAGAAAATATGGGCGGGTGATACATTTTCTTCTAAATAGCAATTGGGCCGGAAGCCTGCGAGTACAAGAGTCTCATCTAACAGACGCAGAGGGAATGGATTGGATGGAAATTGTTTGATAAATTGAAGGCTTTATTTAATCCTGATTGATGACAATGGGGATAATGTTGGTGGGATTTGCAAACGGAGTGAAATTTGATGTCCTAAACGCTACTGACTGCATTTTCAGACTCCATGATGACTGCTGATAGTAACTGCAAAAAAAAAAAACTAAGTGAAAGAGAGGAACACAGATGTATACCCAGAGAATACGCTGTTTCTGATATACATGACTGCCCCCTAGTGCTGTGCATCTGAGCCCAGCACACACAATCAGACTTCAAAATGGTTTGCTGCAGATCTTCCGAGATGTTCAAGAGATCTAACTCTACTTTTCGATTTCTGCCAAATCAGAAAGTCTCATCCACAGCTTTTATCTTGTTGTGTGGTTGTGCATCAGCCCATGGCAATTTTCGTCCAGGTTTCCCAGCATCTTAAGTCCCCTGAGTCTAATTTCATTAAATGGCAGACAGCCTCTGAGTTTGAAAGTGTCTGCAGAGTCAGATGAATTTTCAAGGTACTTGAATATTACTTTAAGGTCAGAGCTCAAATAGAGCATACTCACAGTAACAGGTTCCTCTAAGGGGGTTGCCAAGGTAACGGTTTTCTGAGTCACAACTGCAGAGGGACAAAAAACAATTTAGATGACGTACATCAGTAATGAATCTGAACATGCAGTTGTCATAATAATTATTAAACATTAAAAATAAATGGTCTGTGGATCAAGAAAACAAAAATGTTGTTAATTAAAAAAGAAAAAAGAAGAAGAAAGAAATAAAATAAAGATCAAGATGTTTTGCTAGGTTTAATTTACTAGGTTTTTTAGGGTTTAATATTTTTAGCTGAGGTATTTTTAGTAGTTTTTATCTGTACATTTGTGTTTTTTTATATATATATTGCATGTCCATGTACAAGTGCATATGAACATCTGTTTCCTTCCTAATGACCAAATAGACAACTAACCGCATAGCTTATTTAGTAAATATGTTCTTTTGCAAATGCTGAATAACTTTGTTAAATATTAAATCTGTGATGTTTAAGTTGGCATTAAATAAAATGTACTCTATCCATATCCTATTTATATTGATAGGTCTTAATGTGAATAATTCATCCATGCAAGTTTCATTTTTAAGAAAATTTTGGCCTTAATCAAAATGTCATAACCAGACATCTCTCTGGTGATGTATGCAGGACTTCTCCAATCATTCAACCTCACATTTATCTGTAATGCCCACATCTAAAAAAAACAATTACTAACTGATGCATTGAACCAAGTCCCTGCCCTACCAGGGCTCAACGCTAAGGATTTTTTCTACTGGCCCGGTCAGGCCAGTGGTTCAAATTTTTACTTGCCCTGCCAACATTTTCACTGGCCCTGCCACAAAAATTAAAATAGTTGTTGTAATAGTTGTTTTTGACCACTGTTATCTTGTATTCTAATAAATAAGCTTATATGATACCAACATTTTAAATACCAGTTCAATTTTACAATTCTTGAATCCAGTTTCGTTACCACAGCAAAAACTATTAACATAACAAATATAAAGTTCAAACATTAGTTAGTAACAGTTAGTAAATAAGAACAAATGAACAAATTACAAGCAACAGCACAAATAAATAGAACAAAGATACAAATTAAACGGTGCTTTAGGTTTGTATGTGTTCAGGTACAGAAATGAAGAATCAAGTGCAAAATAACATTGCATATTCTTCACTGTATAAATTAAATATAGATTAATACTTAATTAACATTAAGGACATCAACAGCAGCTGGTAAATGAGGCACGGTCACTTTAAGAGACAATGCATGAATCCAATATAATATACATCCAATTCTCATTTTTTTAAGTTCACTTAAGACATAACCGACTGTTTTTGAGGATACTCGCTAAGACGGGTATTTTCACATACTTTTGTATGTATTTGTCTGTTCAAGCGCAATAAGACGTGGAAAAAAACTAAATTCAGGACTCGCGCGTTGCCTGATGTCTGCGTGCACAAAACACACTGAATGGAGTTGTTATTCACGTCTTCTTGTGCTTGAATGCTTTAAAATCTTTTGAATGTTCAAATCGGCAAGGTGTATTTGCTCATTCAAGCACAAGGCGGCGTGAAAGAGAGCTCCATTCGGGGTCACACTTTGTCAGATGTGGCTCTCTATGTGTGCGCTGTGCACGCAGAATATTGTTGTGTAAGTGTGTTGAATTTGTGTGGTGCCTGCTGTATCTTTGTCCCTTTCCATACTAAGGCAGATTATGTAATTCCACTCTGTTGTCGGGGTCTTTTATTTCCTCAGCTTCATTAGAGAGCGCCAGGAGACAGCCCAAAGCTTCCTCTACCTCAATCTCAAACACGCTAAACAATTAACACAACGCTGTCGGCCCAGCTCTCCACCAGCCTAAGCAGCTTACACATCCTGTTGGTCTTCTGAGCCAGGAACTGACGGTCCAATTAGAGTCTGCATTCATTTGAGCGCACAACTCGCTCACTCCCTCTCCCCACAACAATTTCGCCACTTAGTTTCTACAGAGGCAATTCACTTTCAATCCACACCATTGTCCTGTAAACGTATCTGAAGTGCAAATGCAATTAATCATTAAAGCTGCTTTTAACAAGTAAATTAAACTATGTTTTAGTTAATGCAGAATGCCGGGCTCTGTTCTAGTTACTTTGGAGCTAATCTAACACAGTGCTCCTAGTTCGCATGCATTACAGCCAGAAAAATACTTTATGTAATTATGCAAATGAATTACAATTGTGCAGTCCAGCCAAATGTGGCTTTAGGGTTTGTATTGTATGTGATGCAATAAAATATGCACAAAATGCGTTTTCTATTTTCCTCACAAGTTACATGCAAAATCAAACAATCTGATTCACAAACAAATCCTGTAACTCTTAGTTCATTTTGAGTTTTGTGCTTTTTACCAAGTGCTTTGGTAAATCATAATTATGATAAAAAGTCCAATTTAAGCACATTAAAAAGTGTCATAATTACCACATTAAAAGCCATGATTATGACAGTTGTTAATTACTTTTTCCCTTATAATTATGACTTAGCATATCATAACTGCAACTTTTTATCTCATAATTATAAAAGTAATTTTTGTCATCATTTAAATTTTTTTCATAACGTTTTATCTTATATAATATCAATTTATGTCAGTTGTGTTTTTGTTTTTATTTTAATTCAATTTTTTATATCACATAATTAGTATGACTTAGTATGCCATAATTTTGACTTTTATGTCATAAATATAAAAAATATTTATAATTATGATTTACCAAAGCATGATTTTTTTTTCTTACATGGCTGAAATGGGCTTCCATACTTATGACCCACTTATTTAGCAGTTTATTTATTTGGGAGCAATTTTGATTGGTGAAACAAATTAAATCGGGTAATCTGGATCGACTCCCAGCCATGTGATAATAAAACAATGGGAAAACCCCCCCAACAAAAACACGTTTACCTTTTAAGTACACCTTCTAAAGTACACCATTATTACAGTCAAACATACAGAGACCTCCATCTCATACTGTAAATATCTTTGCCCTTAGCTTGCAGGGATCCGAAGCATTCATATTTTTTTCTGAGAGTTGGTGATAAATATGAGAGGACAAGGTAGAGTACACTTTTACCACAGTATAGAGGACACAGGACAAACTGCACCACAGGCATTTTAAAACCTCTACATATCAGTCCCCTAGCCTTTAATCTGGATGACATTTCAGAAATGACTATTCTCTCTCACCCATACACTGCAAATCAGAAGGAGAGGTTTCCAGCGTTCATGCCACATACACACAATGTACACACAATGTACTCTATGCTGTCTCGGAGTAAACATAATGCACTCTTACTCTCAGTATCTTAATTTAATCTCCAGTGAGAGCGCACAGACATGCTGTGCATGCTTTAATGCACTCTCTCTCTGTAGTGCCATAATTTGATCCCCATTTGGGTCACACCTGGAGTGCCGCAACACACACAACACACTCCATGACACTCCATCATGATGATGATAGACTCTACAGTAATCAAGCATGCTTTTGCTTCAAATTGTATCAATTTTCTTTCTTTAATCATGTGTATCTTTTCAAATATCTCTTGGTGAGCTGCTGTCTGATCGTAAAGGAGAGTGACGTGTTCTCTATGCTCTAAAGTCCCGCTCAGGACTGTGAAAAAAAACTTTGAATTGCTCTTTCACTGTCAGCTCACTAAAAGGGGGTCAGCGAGCGATCACTGCAGCACATCAGGTCTTTAATCAACCATTTTGAGTGTGATAGTATTTGTGCATGACAAAAATGGTCCTGGTGCTTCATTATGGACCTCGTTATGTAGGATGGGCAATGGCATCTGTCCGCTCTGAGTAATGAAGGAGAGAGAGAACAGAGTGGGAAGGAGAGGAATAAACAGGAAGCGGTAACGGCCGTCTCAACTGCTGCCTGTGCACTCATTTGTCCTTGTGATGAAGACACGCTTGAATACATCATCAATGGACCTGGCTTGGCCTGATTGGGTTACGCACAATTAAAAACAAGCATCTACCAGCATGCACACGAGAGAGAGAAATCATCACTTGTTCGGGAATTACTCTACACTGGTCACACACTATGTTTCTGATTTACTAAAAAGAACCAACTCATAAGAGCTGCTTTTTTTAGGAATTGGACTACACTAGTCACACACTACGTGTTTGATTCACTAAAAATAACTATTACCTAATAAGAGTCACTCACCCAGGAATCTGGATACACTGGTCACACTCTATGTTTATGATTCACTAAAAAGAGCCAACTCATAAGAGTCACTTGTTCAGGATTCAAAACTACACTGGTCATTTTCTATGTTTTTGATTTACGAAAAAGATCCAACTCATAAGAGTCACTAGTTTATATATATTGCATGTCCATGTACAAGTGCATATGAACATCTGTTTCCTTCCTAATGACCAAATAGACAACTAACCGCATAGCTTATTTAGTAAATATGTTCTTTTGCAAATGCTGAATAACTTTGTTAAATATTAAATCTGTGATGTTTAAGTTGGCATTAAATAAAATGTACTCTATCCATATCCTATTTATATTGATAGGTCTTAATGTGAATAATTCATCCATGCAAGTTTCATTTTTAAGAAAATTTTGGCCTTAATCAAAATGTCATAACCAGACATCTCTCTGGTGATGTATGCAGGACTTCTCCAATCATTCAACCTCACATTTATCTGTAATGCCCACATCTAAAAAAAACAATTACTAACTGATGCATTGAACCAAGTCCCTGCCCTACCAGGGCTCAACGCTAAGGATTTTTTCTACTGGCCCGGTCAGGCCAGTGGTTCAAATTTTTACTTGCCCTGCCAACATTTTCACTGGCCCTGCCACAAAAATTAAAATAGTTGTTGTAATAGTTGTTTTTGACCACTGTTATCTTGTATTCTAATAAATAAGCTTATATGATACCAACATTTTAAATACCAGTTCAATTTTACAATTCTTGAATCCAGTTTCGTTACCACAGCAAAAACTATTAACATAACAAATATAAAGTTCAAACATTAGTTAGTAACAGTTAGTAAATAAGAACAAATGAACAAATTACAAGCAACAGCACA